GGCCATGTTATCACTAGGTAATTTGCTATTCCTTTAGGCATAGGTCTCCATGTATCTCTGTTGCTAGGTTGGGTTGCCTAGGAATAGCTTTCTTGTCCTAAACAATCTTTAACTGAAAATAAAAAGTTTTCTGCAGATACCAAATTTATTTCTTAAAATTTGAAGCAGGTAATTTCATTTTTATGTTCATATTAACAACAAAAGACATCAAAAATTGGGAAAATATTTTGGGAAAGAATAGTGTAATATTTTAATGCCATTAAAATATTTATAATCCACAAACATTACCTACTGTTATGAATAATTTTGCCACTATAACAGCAAAAAAGTTTTATTTTTTGGTCATTAATATTTTTATATTAGATTTATATATATATTATATGTAAATAATTAGGTGAATAATCTCTAATAACTAATACTATGCATATTAACAATAGAATATTTTGCAAACATATTCAACTAAATAGAAAAAGTAACATATCTTCAAGAAAACTTATGGCCATAATATTCAGATCTTTTCATGAAATAGGTACTACTGAGTATGAGTAATTAAAGTAAAATAAGTGCTGGGGCCTCCCCGGTGGCGCAGCGGTTGAGCGCTGGGTTGCGAAGCTGCCCGCAGCCTCTGTGGTGCCGGTTCGATCCCCGGCTGCTCCCAGGCCACCGGAGGAGGGTCCCACATGGCGCGTAGACCTCTCCTGCCGCCCGCTGCTCCCCTCAGCAGTGTACTTCAGTCCTTCTGCCTGCTCTGCTCCCTGCTCCCTGCTCTGGCTCTGGTGAATTCTCTCACCCTCCTGTGCTTCTGACTGTACCCATTGCATGTATAAACAAAACAAACAAACAAATAAATAAATAAATAAAAACATGCTTCTATTAAAAAAAAAAAAAGTAAAATAAGTGCTAAAAGTAAAAAAAATTTGGATGTTAAATGAATCATTTTTAAAATAAGATTCTCTAAAATACCATATATAACTAACATTTATAGAGCACAATGCTGGTCTAGATAATTTACATATCTTGTTTCATTCAGTCCTTACAACTCTAGGAAATAGGCCCATCATTTTCTCTCTTTCGTATAGAGGAGGCTTAGTAAACTGTCAGACATTAAAATCAAGGAAGTGGTGAAACATTCGATGTCAAAAAGCTCTAGAAAAATATTCAGTTCATATTAACAAAAAAAGGAACAAAAAGAAAATACATCTAAATTTAAGTTTCCAGAGGGCTAACGAAATGCCAATTAAGGAATTGAAATAAAATGGAAGCACTGATGTGAGGAAAAAACTGATAGCTATGAGGAAATTAATTCCTGCAGTAGGAAGACAGATTTTCAGACTCTAAGGCCATCTCCAAATTTAAGTGACAATGAAAACTGAATTAGCCTAATTAAATCCTAGCCCTAAGGGCAATGCTCAGGGAGCAAGAAGGATGTTCAAACTAGGCATGAATTTTGGGGGGAAATTGTAAGAAAGAATTTCCAAATAAATGTTTTTATAAGTGTTCTCAATTCAAACGGATAGCATCGTAGATATTTTAAGAAATTTAACACTAATTTTGCACAGATTAGCTACCTTTCTCCAGCAAATGTCATACATAAAACCTGTTATATGTTATTTTGAGAACAATTTTATTACTATATAGAATCCTCCCTTTCAAAGTAAACAGATTGGAATAAAAGTGAGGATTCAAGTACAAGCATAACATTCAAATTGGAAAAATTTTTCAAAGACTGACAGTTTTCATTCATGATATTCATGTACTGATGTTTCAGAGTCTTGTGCTTAAGTTATTTTCTAGGATCTTTAGTTTATGATATGTTATCAAACTTTCATGTATTGAAATGCAATGTTTTTCTAAATTTTACTGCTATAAATTGCTTCTGAAATATTGGATTTACGTAGTAGAACACAGAGGAAAGGACACTGAGCTAAGAACCAGAACACTTATGTATCCAATTGATCTACTACTTGCTGGCATTGTAACTTTGAGACTATTTTAACCTCTCAATCTATTTTCTTATATATAAAATGAAGTTGGACAAGCGGGGTATGCTCTCTCCAGAACGACATTTCTGCTATGCCATGGTTTAAACCTTACTCAAAGTAAGATAAACTCAGAAAGCAAACAAATATGTGACAATTGTAAATCACAGAGCTTCATTTTTTTCATGAAATCAGATGTATTAGCAGAAGTTGTTTTTTCCATTGATGAAATTAAATTTAAAGTTATACCTACTTATGCCCCTAAATATTTTGTCATCTTTTCACAAATTTTGAATTTTCAATTATGAAACATTTGATGTATACTGGAAAACAGAGAATACAGATTGACACCAATGAGATTAAGTACTTTACTTGCAAGTATACTTTGAAAACAACAACACATAATATATAGAATTAATTTCTGTTGTTTCCTATTATTCTTTATTACATTGGATAATTATTTTATCATTCTGAAAACTAGTTAACATTAAAATATTAACTTCGAAAACTCTTTAATTTTTGTTTGTTCAGGATCATTTAGCATGTCTACATGTCTATTTGATTCTGAGATATATTTTGATAAACTTAAGTTCTATCCTATTGTTAGTGAGTAATCTCTGTTATATTCTACTAATATTAACCTCAGTAATTGGACAAATATTTTACAGGTAAACTTTGTTGTGCTTTGTTGGTGGTGTTTTGTCTCCTTTTTATTGGAAAGTTATGAAAACAACATTTTTCTTTATGAAAATATTTTATATAGCCTATTTTAATGACCATAAAGATTAGAGCATTATTTTCTATTGTTGTTTTGTTTAAATCTAATTTTAATGATACTGCCATATATACAAATTGAGGCTGACTCTTCAAATGATGCAAATCAATAATTTTGAAAGTTTCTCTCTCCTATCTTTCTCTTTCTTTAACTTCCTATTTCTTTTGTACCCAAGGGCTTGAAATCACACAGTGCAAGGGCTATTAAATGTGGACAGGAAGTCTACCAGTTAATTTCCATTCTCAGTTTCTGATTTCTATCTTTTGATCATTTATTTGTTGTTTTTTTTTCTTTTAAATGTGAGCCTCTAATAATTTTAACTTTTAAAATAATATCATAATATGGCTATTCTTAACCATTTGCTACTCTCTGAGAATCTCAGCTGACAGATATCATTATATTCATGTTGACACCCTAATTTCAGGTTTTCAAGTCTAGTCTCCCAGTCAGGAACTGATCCCAGACTCCAGCAGCAGATCTGACTCCCAACCACTAGACCGCCACTGGTTGGTGTCTCACGAAGACGCAGCAAGACTCTCACTGATGTATAAGCAAAAGCAAAAAGAGAAATAGATATAAGAAAAAAATTATTAAGGAGAAAAGGAACAGAAATAAAGAGGGACTCCCAGGCTGGTGGAAACAGGCTAGGGAGGGGCAAGGTAGCTGAAGTAGAGTCCTGCCTCAGGGAACATACACCTTCTTTCCCTAATTATTCTAAAGCCCGGTCAGTCTCTTTGTGATTGGTTAGTTCTTGGTGGTCTCACTTATTCTGCCTTAATGTCTTTGTACCCAGAATTAAGTCTTGAGTCCCAGAGTCTTTTTTCTTTATTGTCCTTGTTCGGGAATGTTCTGTTGCCCCTAGTTCTGGGGTGTTTATTAGTTCCCTTTGCAATTTGTTACCCTTATCTCTGGAACCCTCCCTATTCCTCCAAGGCTTTTCCTATTCTATTCTGACCCTAGAGCCTATCCACTTGTGCTATGACTCAATGTTAGCTAGTCATTCTGAAATTAGCAGAATGAACTAAATTCTTGTTCTGAAGCAAGCAGTTTGCAAGGCAGCTTTGCAGATCTCTTTGTGAATCCACACAGTACTAAACACATTGGCATCATCACCTCTCATTTTTACACATGAGAAACCAGGACTGATAGGGTCTAGGTAGTTCCCATAGGGTCAGAAAGCTGATAAAAGGACATTTTTTAAATCTGGGGCTATTAAAACCTGGAGTTTACCTACATTAAGCTACTCTATCCCTCTTACTGAAGAAAAAAACAGTGTTTCCTTGGGTTCTATCTCCTGGATTTCTATATGAAGATGCCAGAGGGAAAGGAGTGAAAAATTTCCTGTAACCAGGAGATAATTTGCTTTATCAACAAAGAAAACTATTTTCTATTAAATGTATAGCACTACTAAATAACACAATTAGTGTAAACCATCTTGAAATATTTGAGCAAACTCCTTCTAAATGAAGTTTGCTTTTCATTTTTCCCCCCTAAATATAAACATGGGATATGATAATAATGCTGGTTTTGGACATTACCAAAGCTCCCAAAACAAAGACAAGACATAATGTCATAGAAGTCCAGCAATGAGTAAAATTATGTAATAATTGTGGCCCCAATTATATTATTTTGTTTTATGTTTTGGGCATGCAACTCAATATTAGTTTCATTATGCATAAGTGGAACAAATAACTTCTGCCATGCAATTTATAAAAAGGATGGAATTAAACAATGCATGTAAAACATACCTTATAGTAAAATATCCAACCTGATGGCATTATAGGTTTTGGCAAATTTGTTTTAGTAGTAAGAACTGTCATTTTTTTTCAACCTAATTTTGGGAATGATATAATAAATTGAAGAAACATTTTTAAAATCATACCATTACCATTACAGACTACACAGATACTAGAAGTCTTGCCTATCTGTTTCTTTTTCTTTAAAATAAGACCATGTTTCATTTGTTTTGGAATAATATTAATGCATATAATAATTTGAATTATATTATTTCCCTTTAATCTATAGATCAATTGACCTATGAATGAATGTAGCTATCACATTAAGAATTATTTTCTTTGAAAAAAATACCTAAAATAATTTGAAAGTTTCTTTTTATCTTAAAAGATTTACAAGGATGGTTTTCATAACGGATATCACCATGCCTAAGAAGTTTGTCCAGCTCCTGGTTTTTTATTTGACTCTGACTGAAATTGTTTTAAGTGGGAATGTGCTAATTTGGCCTACAGATGGTAGCCATTGGTTAAATATTAAAATCATTCTGGAAGAGTTAATTCAAAGAAATCACAACGTGACTGTACTGGCTTCATCAACAACTCTATTCATCAAATCAAATCTGAATTTTCCTGTGAATTTTGAGGTGATACCCGTTTCCTTCAATAAAAAAAATATAGATGACTTGATTGAACATATGATAGCACTGTGGATAAACCATAGACCAACTCCTCTTACACTCTGGACATTCTACAAAGAACTAGGAAAACTCCTAGATACTTTTTTCCGAATTAATATACAAATATGTGATGGAGTATTAAACAACCCCAAGTTAATGGCAAAACTTCAGAGAGGTGATTTTGATGTGTTAGTAGCAGACCCAGTAACAATCTGTGGGGACCTGGTGGCTCTGAAATTAGGAATTCCATTTATATATACATTGAGGTTCTCTCCAGCCTCAACAGTGGAAAGACACTGTGGGAAAATCCCAGCACCTGTCTCCTATGTACCTGCAGCCTTATCAGAACTCACTGACCAGATGACCTTTGGTGAAAGGGTTAAAAATACCCTATCTTATCATCTGCAAGACTATATTTTTCAGTCCTACTGGGGAGAATGGAATTCGTACTACAGCAAAGTTCTAGGTAAGTCTCTGAAACATTTCCTTATTAGTGATTCCAAATACCTTATTTATATTGTTAATACAACAAAAGTCTTCCATCCCACTGTATATATCAAGCAGAAATAAATAGATGTACTATATCTTCTTTCAAGTCTTTGATCATTATCTTTGGATAAGTTCCTAAAAAACAGAGTGGCATTGTTAATATGTATCTTACTGCTTAAATGAAAATACTCTTGGTTTTATTTAAGAATACATTTTTAATATGTAAATCGATTTTTAAATATATACTAAAGTACATTTAAAAGGATAAATTGTGACTGCCAAAAAATAGCCTGGCAAACATCTAAAAGTGGTAACAGGATTTATAGTCTCTTTCCATATTCTTTGTGTGTAAAAAACTTTAAAAAGCCTACGATCAGGTTTTGGAAACCTGACTTTATACCCTTCTCTGTCTCTCATCTCTCCACTCTTCGGTGCTCCTAGACATTTAAACAATTTTTTTAAAAAGATTTATTTATTTATCAAGCACTGGGTACAGTCAGAAGCGCGGGAGGGTGAGAGAATTCACCAGAGCCAGAGGGGAGAGCAGAGCAGGCAGACTGATGAAGTACACTGCTGAGGGGTGCAGCGGGCGGCAGGAGAGGTCAGCACGCCATGTGGGACCCTTGCCCTGCTGCTGGGGATAGAACCTGCACTGCAGAGGCTGCGGGCAGCTTCGCAGCCCAGCGCTCAACCGCTGCGCCATCAACCGCTGCGCCATCGGGGAGGTTCACTCCTAGACATTTAGACTAGCACTGTTTTCAACTTAATTTCTCAGTACTTTTTTTTAAAGATTTATTTATTTATGCATACAAGAACTGGGGTATAGGCCAGATGTGTGGGGGTGAAAGGATTCACCAGAGACAGAGTGGAGAGCAGAACAGGCAGATCTACTGAGATACAAGTTGAGGGGAGCAGCAGGCCAGACAAGAGAGGTCTGTTACTCCATGCGGGTAGCTCCTTGGCGGGGGATGGAACTCTCGCTGCAGTGGCTGCGGATAGCTTCTTAACCCCTTGCACCACCAGGGAGGCCCCTCAGTATCTTTTTGGTAAGCCTCAAGTTTCCTTGCTTCACAGAGTCCTTATAAGGATCAAACAAAATAATATAAAATATTAAGATAATTTCCAGTTGGTTGTTTATAGTACTTTTTCTGAGCCGTCATGTGTTTTCCTTAATTTTTCTATTTTCTTCTATTTTGAATGCTTTCATGTCTAAATCAATCAGTAGTACTAACTTATTAGCTAACAGTAGGAATTAAAAGTTGATACTACCAGTGATATTTTCTTACTAAGGCAAAATGAAAAAATAATGTCCTTTCATACACCTTCAGTCTTCCTTCCTACTTTGAGCTTTTTTCTTCTTCCTTATATGTTCCTTTTTGCGTAAAAATTGTACTTATTTACCAACAATCCAGTATCTATCACTTTTCTATTAGCTCACAGGTCAAAAATTCTACTCTATGAACTTCTAGTAAGAAGATACAAATAATAAAATATATAAAATGTTAGACTGAAACATGCTGTACAGTAAAATAAGAAGTGGAAATAGTTGTGGAAGTAGGATTACAATTTTAAATAAGGTGGTCTATGAAGATTTCAGATGAAAGATCTGAATTAAGTGAGGGTGAGAGCCAATAGCATCCCTGGAGGAAAAGCATTCAGGCACAGATATGTGAAAATACAAAGAAATGTGGCAGATTGTAAATGCTGGAATACCCTTAATGTAACTTGACTTTTATTTTATCTTTCACATGTAGAATTAGCATATTTTTTCTTTCCTTGATTTTGAAATATTTTTCATCCAATTTCCATGATGTAAACTTTTTTTTAGATTTGTTTTTGTTTGTTTTATTTTTTCATAGAAGAACTGGGATGCAAGCCAGAAAAGTAGGGAGTGGGGGTGTCAGAGGATTCACCAGAGACAAAGTGGGGAGCAGAACAGGTGAATCTTACTGAAATACACTGCTAAGGGCAGCAGCGGGCTAGACAGGAGAGGTCTGCTGTGCATTATGTGGGTTAGCTCCCTGGCCGGGGATCAAACTCAGGATGTATTGGTGATAGCACCGAGACTTAACACCTAGGCCACCAGCGAGGAGACCCACCATTTAATCTCAAATAAGGGAAGGAATTGAACATATCAAACATATAAAGAAACCACATGAAAGATCATTAAAATTTGTATATTCTTGGGTCTCCCCGGTGGCACAGTGGTTGAGCGCTGGGTTGCGATGCTGCCCGCAGCCTCTGCTGCGCCAGTTCGATCCCCGGCTGCTCCCCGGCCACCAGAGGAGGGTCACGCATGGCGCGCAGACCTCTCCTGCCGCCCACTGCTCCCCTCAGCAGTGTACTTCGGTCCTTCTGCCTGCTCTGCTTCCCGCTCTGGCTCTGGTGAATTCTCTCACCCTCCCGCGCTTCTGACTGTACACAGTGCATGCATAAACAAAAACAAACAAACAAATAAAATAAATAAATAAAACATGCCTCTATAAAATAAAAAAAAAAATGTATATTCTTTTGAAGAGATGGTAATTAGAAATTTGAAAGTAAAATTCTGTGCTTATGTACTTAACAATGCAATTTGAGTATATTTTCTTTTTGGCTGTACTCTGTATTTCATATGCCTCCAAAACGATTTGCTTTAAATTTAGATGTTATTCACATGATTTTCCAAATGCATTTGAAATGTGTCCTATAATAACTATCAATGCCCATTTACATATCACATAATGAATATTATAGATATTAAATGAGGTAAGATTAAGTAAGGGAATTATAAAAAGTACCATTGTGAAGGGTCTTGGAAAGCACATAAGGTTTTAGGTTTAAGTGTTATTTTCAAACTTTGTGATCTCAGTGTTTTCTCCTTTTTAAAAATGGGGTAATTATTTCACTGTATTATTTAGGATGATCATATGACATCATGGGTCAATTTGCTCTGACAATTATAAATAATAGGTTTATGTTGAACATTATTTACTACAAAATGCCCATAAACTCTGCAGTGGCGAGGCTCTAATTATTACAGTCGGGGCTGCATACACAGAGCATAGTCAATAAATACCAATAGAAAAATACATGGCCTCTGAAATATATTAATCCTTCCTTCACAAAGGAAGCCATCTGAAATTATATAATGTGTGAAGAAACCTTTGTAAAGCAAAATTTTCCAGACTTCTTATTTTCACAGGATGTTCATTTCGTTTCAGAAATATCACGTTTTTGGAAATTAAATCTTACTTACTTAAATCCTTTCTATTCTTCATGTTACTAAGCATATTTTGGCAGCAAATTTTGCATATTTTATTTCAGATAGAATTATACTGCTAAGAAAAACTGGTAAAATCCAGTTTGTCTTTAGCTTGCAATTACATTCTAAAAGTATTAGTGACACCAGGTATCTGAAAACTAATATAAAGGGCAGGTGCCTTATATATCCTATTATTATATTTGAACACATATCAGATTTCTGTGTAGTTTCCATTACAATGGCTATTTATTTCAAAGGGAAAAGTTGACTAGAAGTAGAGCATGTTTAAATGCAGTAAAGTTCCAAATATCTATATTAAAGAAACTAGAAGAAATAAGGAAATATCTAACAGCGTATTTAAAAATTCCAGCATATCTAAAACTATCAGTGAGGAGATCTTAAAGTTTATGGATGTAGTAAATAAAAATTATTACCAATTAGAATTTAAATATGCTTCAAATACCTAATCAAACAGATGACATTCCCATATCTGGGAATATGACATTATTGCTACACTTATCCAAGAATTAATCTATTATTACATCTTTCCCATCTTTCTTGATTTTTAAATGCGCTTTTCTAATAAAATGAACCAATCTGAGGGGATGTGAACTTACTCCCCTGAATCATATACACTGCTGTAAACCAATGTTTACAATTAAAAAAAATGAACAACATTCCTTAGAGAAATGGTTTATATTAAAGTTGAAGCAGTGAAAATAAGAGATAAGCTTAAACTATCTCATGGTATTAGAAAGTAAAAGTTGTTGAATTTAATTTCTAGGAATTCTTTTTGGTATTTTAGCAGATTTTTCATAATGACTATTTTAAAAAAATGGAGTCATGTTGAAAGGACACAGGAGACAATATGCACAAAATTTCTAAAATCTGGGATAATTTGAGCAATATGAAATAATGGTAATAGTGGAATTCATAATCTAAAATAAAATTTTGAGTCATACTGCTATAAATAACTGAATAAATAAGTAATTCCTTAATTTCCAATTAATATCTCCAGAAGGAATGTGAAAATTTTAAATTGACTGGGTTTTTTAAAAAAGATTTATTTTATTTATGCATGCAAGAACTGGGGTGCAGACCAAAGGTGGGAGTGTGTGTGAGAGGATTCACCAGAGACAATGGGGAGCAGAACAGGCAGAAGTACTGAAATATACTGCTGAGGGGAGCAGCTAGTGAGACAGAAGAGGTCTGCTGTGCCATGTGGGCTGCTCCATGACTGTGTTGGGTGGGCGTCGAACTCGTGCTGCGGTGGCTGGCGACAGCCTGACGGCCCCATGTCTTTAAACCCTGCGTCACCAGGGAGACCCTCGACCAGGTTTTTAAAGTTAAAATTTTACATAATCAAAATAAAATTATTAAAAGTAGGAATTCTTATGAAAGATTTGTTAATTAGCCTGCCAATGTCATATTTTTTTCTCCCAGTATTCTACCCAAGTCTTCTTACCTCCCCCCTTTTCATTTATATTCCTCCAACTGTGATAGTTCCATTTATGGGGCCTAGTGACTAATTATTTTCTAGACTATCCCTCAGTTGGGTTTTCCTATTATTTTCTAATGATTAGAGTGAGGGTATGAATTTTTGGTACTAATTCTACAGAAGTAATCTTGTGTTCTTCACAGTGAGGCATTTAAAGAAGTACATATTATAGATAAATTTTTACTAGTGACAATTTTAATCACAATTTTGCCCTTGGTAATTATCAAGTATATTG